AAAAAAAAAAAAAAAAAAAAAAAAAGGGGAGAATGATTCCCGATGACTGCAAAACAGGTAAGCTAGCTGTATTACGTAGTTGTCTTCTACGTATGACAATAAGGGAGCCCTTAAGACCAGATATACAAGCAGCCCACAAAATAAGCCTGGAGTCTATGCCTGGAGATGCGATGCTGACTTAGTGCACCAGCTGGTATAATCAGGGAAGTTACTCATGATAAGCATAAATAAGACATGCATACACCACATGCACAGCCAGGCAAGAAACTGCACTCTTAAGAGTAGTAAGGATGTGAAAGAAAGAAAAAAAAAGATTACAGCTGAATCATCTGGGCTTTATCTGTAGGAAGAATTCTCTCTCCTTTTAAATTCTGCCTGGAGGTTATTCAACCCTATACCAACATCGGAATAACTGAAATCGTGATGGAAGTCCCAGGTTTTGTGACTCTGCAGGCACCACAGAGTACTAACGTTGGTGCCCTTGACTGCTGTGATCCTGGAGCCCAGTAATCAGAGGAAATATATCTCAAATGGAAAATGTTCAAAAAACTTACCATATACAGGGATGACGACCGCCACCAGCACAAGTACAAAAGCTAGGCATAGCCACCAGACTGTGAAAGAGAAGATCATTAATTGTTTTGTATCTATGAGCACTTAGGCTCAGACTGTATTTCAGTATTAAGTGAGACACAGCAGGATAGCCTTTCATTTAGGCTCCAAGTATGTAAATACAAAGCACTACTGAAGTCAAACAAGGCACCCTGAATTGACATTTATGTAACTGGACAGTTCAATAAAATGGCCAACTATCACCTAAATTCACATTTTTTTTGATCTGTATACACCCTAAAGTTTTCCACAGATGTGCAGATCCCTGTATAGAAAATTTAAGCCTTCTAGTGCCAAGTTTATCATCTCCTCTATGTTTTGCAGACTTCTTAGCAATAACCTCTGGAAGCCAAGAACTCATAGATCATCACCAACTCCAGTCAAGCTACATCCATGTTTGGAAAACAGGAGAACGTTCTCTTGCAATTCAAACATGAAAGGTTGAGGGTCAGAGTATGGCTGCAGTCTTGAATCAAATGTATTTTCTCTTTTTCACAAGCTGTCCTTCACACACAAGTTTTCATGCAGATGTGCAAGCTCACCCGTTGCAAAGGCACAAACTATTTTCTCCAATGAGGTCTGGCTTCACTTCCTACACCTTATCCAAGGGATAGTAACATGGTGAACTACCACATAGAAAAATGCCCGTTTTCATACAAAAGGATCAAACATAAACAATTCACACTTGAATCAAACATAACCGCTTTGCCCAGAAGGAAACTCCCAGGTTTTGTCTTGTCCAAGCCAGGGGACCTGGAACTAGATTTGGAGCTAGACTTCAGACTTCCAGCAGGCAAGTGTCTTACCTAACACCAATGAAAAACTCACATTTTGACATCCACTCTTTACAGTGCTTCCTTGTCTTCTGCACCCATAAAATAGCTACCATTTCTTGTCTGGCATCTTGTTTGACATTAGAGGAGTCTACGTTCCCACCAACGGCTTGTGCCAACTGGATGGTCTCAGCCATATCTTCTTCTTGAGACTCCATCTACAGCTGGGAAGCAATGAAATGTTTAATGAGTGCTTCTCCTATTGTCTATAAACAAGTGGGAATAGTAAAATCCCAAAGCTGCCTTAGTTATTGCCTGTACCTGAGGGGATGAGGGCAGGGTGGATGGAGAAATGAGGAAACAGATAGAAAATAAGGAGCTTGTGCAACATATCTGAGGCCCACTGAAAGGAGAAGATGGGCCTCAGGTACGTTGCACATGTCCTCCTTCCCAGGGATGGAAGCGATGGAGAATGAGGAGTGTAATGGAGGGAAAGGGAAGGACAGAGCAGATGAGAACAATGTTATAGGGAAGGGATGGTGCATGTCAAGGCAGGAGGGAAAGGCCATGATAACCAGAGCTATCTGCTTCACCGCTATGTAGCTTAAAGTAGTCTTGTCTGCATGCAACAAGTCTGGGCAATTTCCCATGTGAGCTGAACCTGGTCTGCAGAGGGAAGTTCACTATACCCTTTGGTGCTCTCTCCAATGAGTGACATTTTCCTCATGATTTTTCTTAAATCCCACTTTGAATTACATAAATATAACAAAAAAAAAATCACTCAGAGAAGAATATGCAGCTATAAACATTACTGTGTCAGTGCAGAAATGCCAACTCATCTTTATGAGTTAGGTTATTATAGGGACCAAAAAATCCACTCCTCTTCAGAAACGGCTTTAACATCTTAACTTTCATTACTGTTGTTACTATTTATGTTAATTGGCACATGCCTAAAAGGCCTCGTCAACTCCACAAATTCATATCAGTAAATAGGTGCTAAACATCTCTAAGAATCAGACTCCACTTGTGCTTGGTCCACCCTACAAAAGCAGAAAGAAACTAAAGCTTGGAATTACATTCCTCAGTAAGGTGCTCTTTGTCCCCAGAGGCTCTTCTGATTGCCCCGAATGCATCCCCAAAACACTGTCCATTTTAGTGTCTGGATATTCATTGCTCGGTACATGAATGGATGTTTGCTCGTGGGCTGGGCCTCTTGCCTCCAGCGAGCATGCTATGCTGTGTTACTGTACTGGAAAAGCGCTGGTTTTGCCTCCAGCCACAGAGGAGTTTCTCCTGAAGTTTCCCATCCACACTAGGGAAAAATGCCTATTTACAGAATCACACCATGCGTGGGTTGGAAGGGACCTTTAGGTCATCTGGTCCAATCCCCCTGCAGGGAACAGGGACATCTTCAACATAATCAGGTTGCTCAGAGCCCCGTCCAACCTCACCTTGAATGTTTCCAGGGGTGGGGCATCTATCGCCTCTCTGGGCAACCTGTTCCAGTGCTTCACCACCCTCATTGTAAAAAATTTCTTACATCCTGTCTAAATCTACCCTCTTTCAGTTTAAAACCGTTACCCCTTGTCCTGACACAGCTGGCCCTACTAAAAAGATTTTCCCCATCTTTCCTATAGGCCCCCTTTAGGTACTGAAAGGCCCCAATCAGGTCTCCCCGCAGCCTTCTCTTCTCCAGGCTGAACAAGCCCAACTCTCTCAGCCTGTCCTCATAGGAGAGGTGCTCCAGCCCTCGGATCATTTTTGTGGCCCTCCTCTGGACCCGCTCCAACAGTTCCATGTCCTTCTTGTGCTGAGGGCTCCAGAGCTGGACACAGGCTCCAGGTGAGGTCTCACCAGAGCAGAGTAGAGGAGCGAGAATCACCTCCCTCGACCTGCCGGCCACGCTGCTTTTGATTCCCCACCCGCGACTTCTGGGACGGTACGAGCGGGCGACACAGCCCCCCTCCGGCGCACCGGTGAGTCACCACGCTCCGTAACACGGCATTGCTGAATATCAGGCAGCTGTTGGCAAAAGCTTTTCAAAGAGCGTTTGGAAGACTGAAGTAAAACACGCAGCCGCAAGGTCGGCAATTTTTCACCGAGCCACAAAAAAAAAGTCCACTTCTGAGAGCTTATTTAGCTAAAGGAATTCGCTCTCACTTTTTGTGGCGGAACTATTTTCCTCTGGAGGAAACACCAGCGGAAGCTCCGCTTGTTCCAGGCCACGGGACGGCGGCGAATGAATGATGCAACCCCAGCCCCCCGCACCTGACAAGCATGCCCTCCC